GAGCCATATTATTAACATCGACATGCCTTGTTCACTGAATTTAATAATTTCTAACAACTACCTTTAGACGCCATCATAAATGAAGGTAGAAGTAATGAATAATTCATGCCGAAAATTGTAAACAAAAGCGGAGTGGGGGAGTGGCTGGGCCAAACGCAGATTCATACACGTTTTCTCTGATGGCTGAACAGAGAAAACGTAATGTTGTCCCTCCACCCGGCTCCACAAGTACAGTGGACCCCCACATACCGTACGCATCACATAACGTTCAATCCGCATACCGCTCGCTTTTATTGCAAAAATTTTGCCTCGCATACCGCTCAAAAACCTGCTCACCGCTCTTCGTCCGAGACGCGTCCAATGTGCGCCCTTAGCCAGCCTCACATGTGCCGCCGGTGGCATTGTTTACCAGCCAGCCTCCGCGGTAACATCCAAGCATACAATCGGAACATTTCGTATTATTACAGTGTTTTTGGTGATTTTATCTGCAAAATAAGTGACCATGGGCCCCAAGAAAGCTTCTAGTGTCAACCCTACAGCAATAAGGGTGAGAATTACTATAGAGATGAAAAAGATCATTGATAAGTATGAAAGTGGAGTGCATGTCTCCGAGCTGGCCAGGTTGTATAATAAACCCCAATCAACCATCGCTACTATTGGTGGTACAGCTGCTGCTGCTGCTGTACCACCGTCAGCTGCTGCTGCTGCACTGTCAGCTGCTGCTGCTGCTGTACCACCATCAGCTGCTGCTGTAGTACCGTCTGCTGCTGCTGTAGCATCGTCTGCTGCTGCTGTAGCACTGTCAGCTGCTGCTGTAGTACCGTCTGCTGCTGCTGTACCACCGTCAGCTGCTGCTGCTGCACTGTCAGCTGCTGCTGTATCACCGTCAGCTGCTGCTGTATCACCGTCAGCTGCTGCTGTAGTACCGTCTGCTGCTGCTGTAGCATCGTCTGCTGCTGCTGTAGCACTGTCAGCTGCTGCTGCTGCTGCTGTAGCACCGTTGTTGGTGTGGCTTATTGAGAATACCAAGAAACAATTAACCCCAGAGGATTTGCCACCCAGGATAACCCAAAAAAGTCAGTGTCATCGAAGACTGTCTAACTTATTTCCATTGGGGTCCTTAATCTTGTCTCCCAGGATGCAACCCACACCAGTCGACTAACACCCAGGTGAACAGGGAAAATGCCTGGAACTAGTGCTCATATTGGTGAATTTAAAGCCAGCAAAGGTTGGTTTGAGAGATTTAAGAATCGTAGTGGCATACACAGTGTGATAAGGCCTGTTCTGGAAGAAAGTACTCAGGAGGAAAAGGCACTCCCAGGACACAGTGTCTCATCAGTCATTGCTGCATCTTCAATAAAGGTAAGTGTCATTTATTCTTCATTTAGTAGAGTAGTACATGCACAATATATATTGTGCATGTACTACTCTACTATTGTGCATGTATCCTTCTCTTTGTGTTTAGGAAAATGTATATTTCATGTGGTAAAAATTTTTTTTCATACTTTTGGGTGTCTTGCACGGATTAATTTGATTTCCATTATTTCTTATGGGGAAAATTCATTCGCATACCGAACATTTTGCATAACAAACAGCCCTCTTGCACGGATTAAAGTCGCTATGCGGGGGTCCACTGTAATAATAATAATAATAATAATAATAATAATAATAATAATAACAATTGCTCTGGAGTGCTTTAAATGTCAGCTACCAAAACTTTATGAAATAAGTATTACATTGAAAGCGCCCCAGAGTGATTAATTATATTTTATTATATATATATTTTTTTTTAACAAGTCGGCCATCTCCCACCGAGGCAGGGTGACCCAAAAAGAAAGAAAATCCCCAAAAAGAAAATACTTTCATCATCATTCAACACTTTCACCTCACACATAATCACTATTTTTGCAGAGGTGCTAGAACACAACAGTTTAGAAGCATATACCTACAAAGATACACAACATATCCCTCCAAACTGCTAATATCCCAAACCCCTCCTTTGGAGTGCAGGCACTGTACTTCCCATTTCCAGGACTCGAGTCCGGCTATATAAAGATAACTGGTTTCCCTGAATCCCTTCACTAAATATTACCCTGCTCACACTCCAACATATCGCTAGGTCCCAAATAACATTCGTCTCCATTCACTCCTATCGAACACACTCATGCACGCCTGCTGGAAGTCCAAGCCCCTCACCCACAAAACCTCCCTTACCCCTTCCTTCCAACCTTTTCGAGGACAACCCCTACCCCGCCTTCCTTCCCCTACAGATTTAAATATTCTCCATGTCATTCTACTTTGGTTCATTCTCTCTAAATGACCAAACCACCTCAACAACCCCTCTTCAGCCCTCTGACTAATACTTTTATTAACTCCACACCTTCTCCTAATTTCCACACTGAATTTTCTGCATAATATTTACACTACACATTGCCCTTAGACAGGACATCTAAACTGCCTCCAACCGCCTCCTCGCTGCTGCATTCACAACCCAAGCTTCACACCCATATAAGAGTGTTGGTACTACTATACTTTCATACATTCCCTTCTTTGCCTCCATAGATAACGTTTTTTGTCTCCACATATACCTCATCGCACCACTCACCTTTTTTCCCTCATCAATTCTATGATTAACCTCATCCTTCATAAATCCATCTGCTTAGACATCAACTCCCAAATATCTGAAAACATTCACTTCTTCCATACTACTACTCCCCAATTTGATATCCAATTTTTCTTTATCTAAATCATTTGATACCCTCATCACCTTACTCTTTTCTATGTTCACTTTCAACTTTCTACCATTACACACACTCCCAGACTCATCCACTAATCTTTGCATTTTTTCTTTAGAATCTCCCATAAGCACAGTATCATCAGCAAAAAGCAACTGTGTCAATTCCCATTTTGTATTTGATTCCCCATAATTTAATCCCACCCCTCTCCTAAACACCCTAGCATTTACTTCTTTTACAACCCCATCTATAAATATATTAAACAACCATGGTGACATTACACATCCCTGTCTAAGACCTACTTTTACCGGGAAGTAGTCTCCCTCTCTTCTACACGCCCTAACCTGAGCCTCACTATCCTCATAAAAACTCTTTACAGCATTTAGTAACTTGCCACCTATTCCATATACTTGCAACATCTGTCACATTGCTCCCCTATCCACTCTATCATATGCCTTTTCTAAATCCATAAATGCAATAAAAACTTCCCTACCTTTATCTAAATAGTACTGTTCACATATATGCTTTAATGTAAACACTTGATCTACATATCCCCTACCCACTCTGAAACCTCCTTGCTCATCCGCAATCCTATATTCAGCCTTACCTCTAATTCTTTGAATTATAACCCTACCGTACACTCTTCCTGGTATACTCAGTAAACTTATTCCTCTATAATTTTTACAATCTCTTTTGTCTCCCTTCCCTTTATATAATGGGACTATACATGCTCTCCGCCAATCCCTAGGTGGTGGTGGTAGTAGTAGTAGTAGTACAAGAATGGTATATAATACCGACTACTACTACTACTACTACCACCTCTTCCTGCCTATATATAGCCGTCCTGCTCCTCTCCTGGTTAGTGTGACTTTGTAAATGGTCCAAGTCGGACCGAAACGTCGTCGTAAGCTTCTCTCTTTTATGTGCGGGTTATTTTTGTATCATTCCAGTCACGGTATTGTGCCTTTTTTTATTATTAATCCCTAGGTACCTTCCCCTCTTTCATACATTTATTAAACAAAAATACCAACCACTCCAACACTATGTCCATCCCTGCTTTTAACATTTCTGTCATGATCCCGTCAGTTCCAGCTGCTTTACCCCCTTTCATTCTATGTAATGCCTCACGCACCTCCCCCACACTCACATCCTGTTCTTCTTCACTCCTAAAAGATGGTATACCTCCCTGGCCAGTGCATGAAATTACCACTTCCCTTTCTTCGTCGACATTTAAAAGTTCCTCAAAATATTCTTGCCATCTACCCAACACCTCCATCTCCCCATCTACTAACTTCCCTACTCTGTTTTTAACTGACAAATCCATTCGTTCTCTAGGCTTTCTTAACTTGTTTAACTCACTCCAAAATTTTTTCTTATTTTCATTAAAATTTCTTGACAGTGCCTCTCCCACTCTATCGTCTGCTCTCCTTTTGCACTCTCTCACCACTCTCTTCACCTTCTCTACTCTACTCTTCTTATAACACTTCTGCTTTGTAAAAACCTCTCATAAGCTAACTTTTTATTATTAGTAGTAGTAGTATTAGTAATAGTATTATCACCATCGACATATCTTTTTCACTGAGTTTAATCATTTCATAATTAAGCTGCCATGAGAGAGCAAGAATGTAAACACAGACAAACACACCAGCTAACTCCTTTACTGTGAACCTCTTTTGAACATCATCCATTTTCCTATCTTTCCTCTTCCAAGTGCTGCTGCATTTTTATCTTGTACTTTGGGGTGTACAATCAAGTGCAAATTTATAGATGAAATATATAGTCTTGGAGATTGCTTGATACTGAGACCCATCACTAACCCATTTACAATGAACTTCTGTTGTACTTCTTTCATTTAACTCTTCCAAGTGCTGCTGCACTTCTGTCTTGTACTGTGGGGTGTATAGTCGAGTACAAATATGTAGTCTTGGAGACTTTAAAAGCTAGTGTACTGAGTGGCTATAAGGAGATTAAGATGATTGATGCTGAGACACTGTGGTGCCTGTTTCCGTGACCCAAGTTCTTGTACGGCATACAGTAGACTCGTTGGAGAGCCCATCGTAACTCCGAGTTGTCAGTAAACGAGTACATTGGTAAGTGAGGAGAGGCTGTATTTAAAATACAATTGTTTATATTTTTTCCCATGGTTGACAGATGTAGGTATATCGCAGTGCTAAATGAATGTAAGAGAATATGTGCTTTGTGGAGTGTAAATCATGAGACATAAAAATAAACTTTTATAATTAATTCTTGTTGTTTATGTTTTAGGAAGCCAAAGTGACACACATTCTGACTTGCCTCAACAAAACATCTCCCCCAGTCTTAATCTTTGCTGAGAAGAAACAGGATGTTGATCTTATACAAGAATACCTATTACTGAAGGGTGTCACAGCTGCAGCCATTCATGGAGGCAAAGATCAGGAGGAGAGATCTGCTGCTGTTCAGGCATTTCAGGTAGGTAATTCATTTTATCCACTGAGATATTTTTACAATTTCTGAGAAAATTTACACAAATAATTCCTTTGGTATCTCTGTTAAGTATTATCAGTACCGGTAACCTTGCACATCATATAACAATAATAATTTTATTTTAGCATGATACGTGTTTGTACAAAGGAGTGTAACAATTTGGTGAACATGCCAAAAGCCCCTTTATGTGCAGAGCATTTTGGGCAAACTTAGGACTAATTTAAGATTAACCCTTTGAGGGTTTCGGCCATACTAGTACGGCTTACGACCCAGGGTTTTTGACGTACTAGTACGCCTAAATTCTAGCGCCCTCAAATCTAGTGGGAGAAAGCTGGTAGGCATACATATGAAAGAATGGGTCTATGTGGTCAGTGTGCGCAGTATAAAAAAAATCCTGCAGCACACAGTGCATAATGAGAAAAAAAAACTTTGACCGTGTTTTTGGAATAAAACAGCGACTTTGCACTGTATTTTCGTATGGTATTTATTGTTGTATTCTAGTTTTCTTGGTCTCATTTTATAGAATGGAAGACATATTACAGAAATTGAGATGATTTTGACTGGTTTTACAAAGAAAAGTACCTTGAAATTGAGCTCAAAGTAGCAGAAATGTTCGATTTTTACCAAAGTTTAAAAGTAAACAAATCATGCCAAGCGTCAAATACACGTCAACTGGTGAGTCTAATGTTCTTTCACAAGTGCGCTGATATTATTTATACCATTTCTACACTAATGCAGCAGTCTGCATAACAGTAAATCTTCTATTTTTGTAAGAATAAAAATTGAAAGTGGAAAGCCAAAGAAATATAAGAGGGGCCTGGGGATGTGGCTAACAAACAGAGGAAATGTTATTTTAGTGCCAGGAATGTCTTTCTTGTTTATTCTGGACCCTATTTGGAAATTGGCATCTTTTGAAATTTGTGTGAAATTTGCAAAATTGCTTAATTCTGACCACTGTATTGGATAGTTGAAATCAGTAAATGGGTGGTTTCTTGTACTCATTCAATAGAAAAAATGGAGTTCTAGAGAAATAGTTATGATTTTTGTTGACTAGTACAATGGAATTGGCCGAAAATAGGGCTCAAAATGGGCAAAATCACCGATGCATAAACATCGTCGAGACCGCTAACCTTGCGAGAGCATAATTCCGTAAATTTTCCATCAAATTTCATACTTTTGATGTCATTATGATCAGGAAAAGATTCTCTATCTTTTCATAAGAAAAATAATTTTTTTTTTTAAATTTGGCCGACCTGAGAACAAGTCTCGTAGAGGGGCCTGTCGACCCTCAAAGGGTTAATAGGTCAATAACAGTGCTGTAATTGTACATATGGTCATTATGTGAGTTACAGTGAATACAAGAAAGTTGAATATTCAACTAGTTCATGCTATATGGCTTTAATAAGTTTGGTAGAGGAGAATTACAGTTTTGATATAGTATATAAAAACACAGCATTACAATTTAGCACAATTTAAAATAATGAAGTTGAAACAGTTGAAGTTTGAAGTAATGATTAAATAGTTGAGCAATCATCAAGTCTAGTAATGTGATTGTATGACATGTTGAATATAACTTTGGATAAGTGTTAATTCCTTGAATAGTGTTATAGGAGAATTTTGTTTTGCCTAGAGTGTAGTTTAGAGAGTTTAGCACATTTATTATTTTTTGAGATAAGTATAAAGTAAGACACATGCAACACCAGAACATTTGATTATGAAATTACTTACAGAAAGAAAGCTTTATCATTTGAATGCAAGACGTAAGAAATTTATGGTACACTGCATATAGGAGCAGAGAAATCAAGTGTGGGAGGTGTCAGGTCAGTGTTGTCAGCTGGGTTTCCTGATTGCAGTGCTTTGTTAGTGTGGCAGTGAGTTAGCCAGTACATCTGACATGCAAAACTACCATATTTCTGAGCAACAGTGATGGAAATGATGATTAATAGAGTCTGACCTCTGCCCAGCTCATCAGATGGCTGTGTGAGCTTCAGTGAATTACACATGTAGCATTCATATCATCCTTGCTGCATGGGTACTTATGCTTTCTGAAGTGCTGCTCCAGGCTTCTGGCTGTTTTTTTCACATAAGCTATTTTAACTACCACAGGGTTTATTGTAGATTCAAGGATCTGTGGATGTGGGGTAAAGTTAATGTTGCTCACTTTTGATGTTGCCTTGCACTTTACCAATGTACCTACAAAACAAGCCATCACGTTGCTGTGACAGAAGATCTCTGACAATATGAACCTCCTCATTTCCTGGAAGGATTTTTTAGATCTCATATAGAGTTTTGTGTTAATTTCAGCTATTTAGATTTCAGTGATGTCAGCTATAGGAAGTGTTTTGGTAAGATCGTAGGATTCCTTATCAGTGCCACATTAGCAAGCTTCTACATGTAACATTTTAGATCCATCATCCCCAGTAATGTGACACGGTTGTGGAATGTGGTTAATATATTAGTTGTCTTTCCCAGAAATTTTAATATCCAGAACCAACTCATGAAAATCTGCAGCATAGAATTGTCCATCAAGTTCACTCTAGAAGTGGAAAAAGAGGCAACTAACCTTTCCTTGACATTCTGTTGTGTAAAACTGACAATACCCTGTATTTTAAGGTACAGTATATTGTAAACCAATTAATAAGGATGATCTACATTACTACTACCATTAAGATTTCAGGACCAAGAGAAGAGTCATAATTGAATACAGTCATGTGCTGCATAACAACGTTTCAGTCAGTGATGACCTGCATATATGATGGTGGTACCTTAAGATTATAACGGACTGAAAAATTCCTATTGCCTAGTGATGTCATAGTTTAATGCATTACTCATGTGTTTGTGGTGATGCTGGTGTAAACAAACCTACTTCTCTGCCAGTCATATAAAAGTATAACACATGTATTTATGTACGGTACATAATACTTGATGATGATAAACAACTCTGTTACTGGTTTATGTACTTACTATACTGTACAGTAACATGCTGTACAGGTTTGTAGCCTAGGATTAATAGGCTATACCATATAGCCTAGATGTGTAGTAGGCTATACCGCCTACATTTGTGTAAATATACAATGACAAGATCGCCTAACGACACATTCCTCAGAATGTATCCCCATTGTTAAGCGATGCATAACTGTAATTGGGCTTTTCCTGAGAGCCTATAGGATCTCAGGCCTGACTTTCTTCAAAGAAGAGAGCCAGACTTGAGGATGTATCCACAGTTTACTCATTTGTCTCAGATTTTTTAACCATTTTATTATTAATTGCATGAGGAGAGCACAGTGCTTCAAATTATCCCACTAAGAGATACACCTTCATCCTGTTTAGTATCCTTGCCAACTTTGAGCTAAGTATAGCCACCAGCTTTTGGCTATCAAGCACCTGGTATGAACGCACCCATAGATTCCAGCACAGGAGTCCGCATCATATCCTGTGGTGGCTGTGATAAGAATGCATGTGGATGAGATGTCAAGAAGCCTCAATCAGTGTCTCCTCTTAAGTTTGTGTGCAGCAGAGATGAAATGAACAGTATGTATATGAGATGTTGGATTGAGGTTCCCAGTGACCAAAACATTTTCTAATAAAATGCTTTAGTGTTGCAGATGTCTCATTTACATTCTTCTTTCTTTCAACACACCGGCCGTATCCCACCGAGGCGGGGTGGCCCAAAAGGAAAAACGAAAGTTTCTCCTTTTACATTTAGTAATATATACAGCAGAAGAGGTTACCAGCCCCTTGCTCCCGGCATTTTAGTTGCCTCTTACAACACGCATGGCTTACGGAGGAAGAATTCTGTTCCACTTCCCCATGGAGATAAGAGGAAATAAACAAGAATAAGAACTAGAAAGAAAATAGAAGAAAACCCAGAGGGGTGTGTATATATGTGTTTGTACATGTATGTGTAGTGTGACCTAAGTGTAAGTAGAAGTAGCAAGACATACCTGAAATCTTGCATGTTCATGAGACAGAAAAAAGGACACCAGCAATCCTACCATCATGTAAAACAATTACAGGCTTTCGTTTTACACTCACTTGGCAGGACGGTAGTACCTCCCTGGGCGGTTGCTGTCTACCAACCTACTACCTATGTCTCATTTACATACTATCATTATACATATACAGTACCAAGTATTGCATTATAATTTTATAAAATTTATGTTTCATATTCTAGAGAGGAGATAAGGATGTTTTGGTTGCTACTGATGTGGCCTCAAAGGGCCTTGATTTCCCTGGCATCCAGCATGTTATTAACTATGACATGCCAGATGACATAGAAAATTATGTTCATCGAATTGGCCGTACTGGTCGGTCTGGACAGCAGGGTGTGGCCACAACATTCATCAACAAAGCCAATGATGAATCAGTATTGTTGGATCTCAAGCATTTGCTAATTGAGGCCAAACAAAAGGTTGGTGTTATCTTATATTTACATTATTTTCTGATTTTTATCCTTTGAAATTTTGTTGAAAAAATTTGTTTTGAAGCTGAAGCACGAGATCGACAGAATTTTTGTTAGTAAATTGTAAAATATCTTTAAATAGTTTAATGAATACAGTAAATGGTATTCTCACATTTATGTATGAACCAGAAATATTTACCAGACTTTGAATCACTTGTATCATAACTTGTATTGAAAATTAGAGTAGGTGTCATATACGCTTATGTATGCACGTAAACTCATCACACTGATAATGAAACCACATACAATAAATAATTGTTTTAAACATTAAATACTGAAATCTGTATGGTTATTCACCTAATGTAGTATTTTGTAGAATTACCTTTCCTCTGGATGCACTTCTTAAGTTTCCTAGGCACTGATAAGGCTACATTATGAAGGATGGAAGAGTCAGTACCTTCCCAAACCTGCTAAATGATACTCAAGATTTTCAGGTTAGAGGACACTTTTGTGCTACAAAGATTTCGCTTAACCCTTTCAGGGTTGGTGCCATACTAGTACGGCTTGCACGCCAGGGTTGATGCCGTACTAGTACGCATAAATTCTAGTGCCTTCAAATCTAGCAAGAGAAAGCTGGTAGGCCTACATATGAAAGAATGGATCTATGTGGTCAGTGTGCACAGCATAAAAAATCCTGCAGCACACAGTGCATAGTGAGAAAAAAAACTTCGACCATGTTTTTGGTTTAAAACAGCGACTTTGCAGTATATTTTTGTATTCTATTTATGGTTGTATTCTAGTTTTCCTGGCCTCATTTTATAGAAGGGAAGACATATTACAGAAATTGAGATGATGTTGATTGGTTTCACAATGAAAAGTACCTTGAAATTGAGCTGAAAGTAGCAGAAATGTTCGATTTTTGCCAAAGTTCAAAATTAAACAAAACATGCCATGTGTCCAGTGCACATCAACTTGGTGAGTCTAATATTCTTTCACAAGTGCGCTGATAATTATACAATTTCTACACTAATGCAGTAGTCTGCATAACAGTAAATCTTCTATTTTTTGTGAGAAAAATTCAAAGTGGAAAGCAAAATAAATGTAACAGAGGCCTGGGGACATGACTAATGAACAGAAGAAATGTTATTTTAGTGCCAGGAATGTCTGTCTTGTTTATTCTGGACCCTATTTGGAAATTGGCATCTTTTGAAATATGTGAAATTGGCAAAATTGCCAATTTCTGACCACTTTATTGGATAGTCGAAATCGGTAAATGGGTGGTTTCTTGTACTCATTCGATAGAAAAAATGGAGTTGTAGCGAAATAGTTATGATTTTTTGTCGACTGGTACATTGGAATTGGCCGAAAATAGGGCTCAAAGTGGGCGAAATCACTGATGTGTAAACATCAAGACCGCTAACTTCATGAGAGCATAATTCTGTAAGTTTTCCATCAAATTTCATATTTTTGGTGTCATTATGATTGGGAAAAGATTCTCTATCATTCCATAAGATTTTTTTTTTTTTTTTCGAAAAATTTCTGACCCTGAGAACAAGTTTAGGAGAGGGCCCGCCGATCCTGAAAGAGTTAATAAGGTTTCAAATGTGTTTTCTCTTGGACTTAAATCCAGTGGGTTACCAGACCAGTCATCAAAGATTAAAATTTCATAATCATTTAGCCAGTCTATTATTTCTTTGGCAGCACATCAAGGGCCACCATCTTCCATACAAAAGTTGCCCTAGTACTTATCTAAACTGTCTGCAAATAGTCTGCTTAAGGTGTATTTGTGCATGTACATATTTATGACACCTATATATCCTACTTTGAGTGACAGCGAATGTTTTTCTTTTTGTTAGGTCACTGTATCTCGATGGGAGATGACTGGATTGCTAAAAAAAAAAGTATCATTTAACTTAATTTCAGGTTCCTCCATTCCTAACAATTGTAGGCGGTATGGATGAAGACTTACTGGACTCGCTTGAAGCTAATGGAGGTGACGAACGTGGATGCTCATATTGTGGTGGTCTTGGCCATCGTATTACATCCTGTCCTCGCTTGGAAGCCATGCAGAATAAGCAGGCAGCAGGAATTGGGCGTAAAGATTATCTAGCAGCCAATGCTGCTGACTATTAACCATGCATTGTGTTCTGTTAGTGCATTATGTTTATAGTATAACATTGATTATTATGTGGTGTAGTGTTGCAGTTACTGTAAGGGGACAACACTGCAAATAGCATATTGCATGAATTTCTCAAAAGGTAAATAAATTAAGCTTATTGCAACTATACTATCAAAACAGCTTGGTTTTAATCAAACCATCTTGCCTTTCAAAGCAAATTGATTTACAGAAAGGCCCCATATATTTGGCACCCTCTTGTCAGTGTCCCATGTTTATGTTGGCTTTTAATTGAGCTATTGTTCATTATGTTCGGTGCTTTTACTTCTTTTCTACCATTTTGGTTCAACAGTTGCATAAGGGAAGGGTGACCAGCACTATATTTTAAGGTAAGTATTGTATGTACTATGTATTTATTTTACTTTTTTATGTTTTTTATGCCTAGCTGTACTAAACACTTAATACGTATATGATAGTGTAAACACTTTGAGGCATTTTAGATGTATTCAGTAATGAAAAACTACTCTTTTCCACCCGCTGGTGATTTTTGCTTATCACACAGGGACAGGAACCTAAGAGTCATACAGAAGGGGCAATGTATTAAAAACATAAGATAGCAAGATAGCAATTAAATTTAGTATTTCTGATACTATTATTATTATTTTTTTATTATCACACTGGCCGATTCCCACCAAGGCAGGGTTGCCCGAAAAAGAAAAACTTTCACCATCATTCACTCCATCACTGTCTTGCCAGAAGGGTGCTTTACACTACATTTCTGATACATATTTTAGAATTATCAGTCACACTTTCTGATAATTCTAAGACTTTGTAAAATTTACTTTAAAAATTCCTTAAAATTAGTATAATCAGATGCTGTATCACTGCACAATGTAAGTTGACTTTGATGCATTTATATGAGAAATAAGATGACCACTATTTTTGTTATATCTCTTAGGAAGTACGTGCCATGTATTATAAATTTTGGATCATAAATAGCAATTTAAATCAGGCAGAAATTTCAAAACCTTCACAGGTTTGAAATTTCTAATTGACGATTATTAACCCGTAAACGGTCCAAACGTACATATACGTTCACTACCGTACGGCCCCAACTTTTTTGAGAAAAAAAAATTGTTTTTTAATAGGAGAAAAGAGCATATGGTACCCAGGCATCCCCAATTATTTAAATATGGTGCACAGTGAGTGCTCATACCCATTCTCACATGTCTAGGTGACTCAGGCTTATCGTGGCAATGTTAAATGTAGGACACATAAAACGTATATATACGTTTGGGGCACTAGCGGTAAAAACGTATATATACGTTTGGACCGTTTACGGGTTAAAGCTATTTGTATTTTTCAGGTAACTGCCTTGTTTTTTATATGACAAAAATTGTGACCATTTAAGTCAAATGAGGAGTACTAACTGGTAGTTCTTGGAAAAATTAATTTACTCCTGAGTATCACAACAAACTTCATGTGATGTATTATTATTATATATTTATGGAAAACACTGTTCTCTTAAGGGAGGGGCGAGCCATTTTTCAGTGATCAGGAAATTAAGATTGAAAAATTATGGAAAAAAAAGAATGTTTTCTTATTGAAAAATAGTGCAAAATTCAGGCAACGTTTTGATGTAATCAGCTTGTTTCTATCATATTTCTAGGTATGTTTTTCATTAAATGTATTTTTTTTTGTTCTTGCTGTCATCAAAAATACATGTTGGCAATTAGTGGGGTTTTTTTTCCTCCAAAAATTACAATTTTTATGATTGTTTTATTCTAAATACTCTACATGACAACTTCTGTGCTGGCTAAAGAGTAGAACATGGTGCTTTACACTACAGTTATAAAACTGCAACATTAACACCCCTCCTTCAGAGTGTAGACACTGTACTTCCCATCTCCAGGACTTAAGTCCAGCCTGCCGGTTTCCCTGCATCCCTTCATAAATGTTACTTTGCTCACACTCCAACAGCACATCAAGTATCAAAAACCATTTGTCTCCATTCACTCCTATCAAATATGTTCATGCACGCTTGCTGGAAGTCCAAGCCCTTCGCACACAAAACCTTCTTTACCCCCTCCCTCCAACCCTTCCCTCCACTACAGATTTATACACTCTCGAAATCATTCTGTTTTGTTCCATTCTCTCTACATGTCCAAACCACCTCAACAACCCCTCCTCAGCCCTCTGGATAATAGTTTTGGTAATCCCACACCTTCTAATTTCCAAACTATGAATTCTCTGCATTATATTCACACCACACATTGCCCTCAGACATGACATCTCCACTGCCTCCAGCCTTCTCCTCATTGCAACATTCATCACCTATGTTTCACACCCATACAAGAGTGTTGGTACAACTATACTCTCATACATTCCCCTCTTTGCTTCCACCGACAAAGTTCTTTGTCTCCACAAACTCCTAAGTGCACCACTCGCTCTTTTCCCCTCATCAGTCCTGTGATTCACCTCATCCTTCATAGACCCATCTGCTGACACATCCACTCCTAAATATCTGAATACATTCACCTCCTCCATACTCTCTCCCTCCAATCTGATATTCAATCTTTCGTCACCTAATCTTTTGTTTTCCTCATAACCTTACTCTTTCCTATATTCACTTTTAATTTTCTTCTTTTACATTTGATTATTTTATTATCACACCGGCCGATTCCCACCAAGGCAGGGTGGCCCGAAAAAGAAAAACTTTCACCATCATTCACTCCATCACTGTCTTGCCAGAAGGGTGCTTTACACTACAGTTTTTAAACTGCAACATTAACACCCCTCCTTCAGAGTGCAGGCACTGTACTTCTTTTACATACCCTACCAAATTCATCCACCAACCTCTGCAACTTCTCTTCAGAATCTCCCAAAAGCACCATGTCATCAGCAAAGAGCAACTGTGACAACTTTCACTTTGTGCTTCATTCTTTATCTTTTAACTCCACACCTCTTGCCAAGACCTTAGCATTCACTTCTCTTACAATCCCATCTATAAATATATTGAATAACCATGGTGACATCACACATCCTTGTCTAAGGCCTACTTTTACTGGGAAATAATCTCCCTCTCTACTACATAATCTAACCTGAACCTCACTATCCTCGTAAAAACTCTAAATGCTTCTCCTACTTTAGCATTTAGGTCCCCTACCATAATTACTCTCTCACTTGGTTCAAAGGTTCCTATACATTTGCTTAACATCTCCCAAAATCTCTCTCTCTCCTCTACACTCCTCTCTTCTCCAGGTGCATACACGCTTATCATAACCCATTTTTCACATCCGACCCTTATTTTAATCCACATAATCCTTGAATTTACACATTTATATTCCCTCTTCTCCTTCCATACCTGGTCTTTCAACATTATTGCTACCCCTTCCTTAGCTCTAACTCTCTCAGCTACTCCTGACTTAATCCCATTTATTTCTCCCCACTGAAACTCACCTACCCCCTTCAGCTTTGTTTCGCTTAGGGCCAGGACATCCAACTTCTTTTCATTCATAACATCAGCAATCATCTCTTTCTTATCATCCGCACTTTCAAGCATCCCAGTTTTATAAAGGTTTTCTTCTGATTTTTAGTAAATGTGTACAGGAGAAGGGGTTACTAGCCTATTGCTCCCGGCATTGTAATCGCCTCATATGACATGCATGGCTTACGGAGGAAAGATTCTTTTCCACTTCCCCATGGAGAATAGAGAGAGAGAGAAAAAAAACAAGAACAAAAGCTATTAAGAAAAAGAAGAAAACCCCTAGATGTTTTTTTTTTTTTTTTTTTTTTTTTTTTCAACAAGTCGGCCGTCTCCCACCGAGGCAGGGTGACCCAAAAAAGAAAGAAAATCCCCAAAAAAGAAAATACTTTCATCATCATTCAACACTTTCATCACACTCGCACATTATCACTGTTTTTGCAGAGGTGCTCAGAATACAACAGTCTAGAAGCATACACATATAAAGATACACAACATATCCCTCCAAACTGCCAATATCCCAAACCCCTCCTTTAAAGTGCAGGCATTGTACTTCCCATTTCCAGGACTCAAGTCCGACTATATGAAAATAACCGGTTTCCCTGAATCCCTTCACTAAATATTACCCTGCTCACACTCCAACAGATCGTCAGGTCCCAAGTACCATTCGTCTCCATTCACTCCTATCTAACACGCTCACGCACGCTTGCTGGAAGTCCAAGCCCCTTACCCACAAAACCTCCTTTACCCCCTCTCTCCAACCCTAGATGTATGTACATATATATATGTATCTTCTTCTTTCAACAAACCAGCCGTATCCCACCAAGGAAGGGTGGCCCAAAAAGAAAAACGAAAGTTTCTCTTCTAAAATTTAGTAATTTATACAGGAGAAGGGATTACTAGCCCCTTGCTCCCGGCATTTTAGTCGTCTCTTACAACACGCATGGCTTACGGAGGAAGAATTCTGTTCCACTTCCCCATGGAGATAAGAGGAAATAAACAAGAAAAAGAACTAGAAAGAAAACAGAAGAAAACCCAGAGGGGTGTGTGTATATATATGCTTGTATATGTATGTGTAGTGTGACCTAAGTGTAAGTAGAAGTAGCAAGACATACCTGAAATCTTTCATGTTTATGAGACAGACAAAAGACACCAGCAATCCTACCATCATGTAAAACAATTACAGGCTTTCGTTTTACACTCACTTGGCAGGACGGTAGTACCTCCCTGGGCGGTTGCTGTCTGCCAACCTACTACCTATGTGTACCTGTACATAAGTAAACTTACACACTGTGCTGGCATGCAGGTACACATTAAAATTACTAAGAGTGTCTTATTAGTCTTGAACACGCCATATTAATAATAATAACACAATTTTAATCACTCTGAGGCACATTAAATATCACATAGAATGTTTATATAGACAGTAATATAGTACAGTGGACCCCCGGTTAACGATATTTTTTCACTCCAGAAGTATGTTCAGGTGCCAGTACTGACCGAATTTGTTCCCATAAGAAATATTGTGAAGTAGATCAGTCCATTTCAGACCCCCAAACATACACGTACAAACGCACTTACATAAATACACTTACATAATTGGTCGCATTCGGAGGTAATCGTTATGCGGGGGTCCACTGTAATAGGCAGAATGAGGTGGATATTGGAAAGCCAGTGGCACTAGGTGACAAGGACAGTAATAGGTTTAGTGGAAAAACAGTAATGAGCAGGAAGGGTAAAGAAAAAGGAGGGTCTTTAAATATACATTATGCTAATACCCGTAGTGCTAGTAATAAGATGGACGAGTTGAGATTAGTTGCTAGTGCAGGTAACATTGATGTATTTGCCATAACTGAGATGTGGTTTAATTCAAAAAGTCAGGACATACCTGCAGAATGTCACATTCAGGGTTTTAAATTGTTCCAAGTAGATAGAAGTATCGGGAAGGGGGGTGGGGTGGCACTGTATGTCTGAGAACGCTTGAACTGCTGCATAAAAACGGGTATTAAGTCTGAAGTAACACATGCAGAGTCTGTTTGGATAGAATTTTCAGGGGGGCATGAAAAATTGACTTTAGGTGTGATATACCATCCCCCAGGCCAAAAGGCATGATAACATAATAATTGTAGGAGACTTTAACTTTAGTCATATTGATTGGAATTTCTTGACCGGGAATTTAGAATCAAACAACTTCTTAGAAGTAGTTCACGATTGTTTTTTGAACCAGTTTGCGACAGAACCTACAAGGAGAAATAACATGCTTGACTTGGTATTGGCAAACAAGGAAACCCTTGTTAATAATTTAGAAATTACAGAGGAACTCGGCACAAGCGATCACAAATCAATTACCTTCAGCATCGAATGGAAGTATGACAGTAGGAATAATTCAGTAATGGTCCCAGATTTTCGCTTAGCAGATTACAATGGGCTTAGACAACACTTATCATCTGTGGACTGGGGTAAAGAAGAGAACTATCAGTATGACAGCTTTCTTAACACAATACATGCTGTCCAAAGGACAATTATCCCATATAAGGAAATTAGATCGAATAGAAATGACCCAAAATGGATGAATAATAGGCTCAAATATCTTTTAGGACAGAAAAAAGGAATTTATAGGTGCATCAGAAGAGGTGAGGGTCATCTTATGAATCAGTATATTGACATTAAGAGGGATGTTAAAAAGGGGATAAGCAAAGCTAAATGGGACTATGAAATTAAAGTTGCTAGGGATTCGGAAACTAACCCAAAAAGTAGGTTTATAGAACAAAAGTTAGAGATAAGATAGGTCCCCTTAAAAATAACTCTGGGCATCTTACTGACAAGGAGAATGAAATGTGCTCTATTCTTAATAATTATTTTCTCAGTTTTCACTCAGGAAGACACTAACAATATCCCAGTAATTAATTTTTATAGTGGGCCTGAAGATGATAAATTATGCAATATCATAGTCATTAGCGAAATGCTTATCAAACAGATAGACCGATTAAAGCAAAATAAATCCCTGGGCCCTGATGAACTTTTTTCAAGGGTTCTTAAAGAGTGTAAAATGGAACTTTGTGAACCACTGACTAATATTTTTAATATTTCTCTTCAAACAAGTGTAGTGTCTGATATGTGGAAGATGGCTAATGTAATTCCTATTTTTAAAGCAGGGGACAAGTCGTTACCGTCAAATTACCGCCCAATAAGCTTAACCTCAATTGTAGGCAAATTACTTGAGTCAATTATAGCTGATATTATCAGAAGCCATCTCGATAAGCATAGCTTGATTAATGATACTCAGCATGGATTCACGAGGGGCCGTTCCTGCCTAATTATTAACCTTCTTCAGTAAAGTTTTGATGCTGTTGATCATGATAAAGAATTCGATATTGTTTATTCAGATTTTAGTAAGGCTTTTTATAGAGTACCGCACCAGAGATTGTTAAAGAAAGTGGGAGCTCATGGCATTGGGGGAAAAGTGCTGTCATGGATTGAGTCATGGCTCACCAATAGGAAGCAGAGAGTATGCTTAAATGGGGTTAAATCCGAGTGGGGATCTGTAACAAGTGGAGTTCCACAGGGATCAGTCTTGGGCCCGTTGTTGTTTATAATATATGACAATGACCTTGATGAGGGAATTACTAGTGATATGAGCAAATTCGCCAATGACACAAAGATAGGTAGGATAATTGATTCAAATGTAGATGTCACAGAACTTCAGGAGGATTTAGACAAACTCAATTCCTGGTCAGAAAGTGGCAGATGCAGTTCAGTGTAGATAAATGCAAGGTTCTGAAGCTTGGGAGTGTCCATAACCCTAGTACTTATCAGTTAAATAATGTAGAACTTAGCCATACAGATTGCGAAAAGGACATGGGGTTATGGTAAGCAGCAACCTTAAACCAAGACAGCAGTGCCTAAGCGTATGTAACAAAACAAACAGATTACTGGGATTTATATCTAGTAGTGTAAGCAACAGAAGTCCAGCAGTTATTTTACAGCTTTATACATCATTAGTAAGGCCTCACCTAGATTACGCAGCTCAGTTCTGGTCTCCGTATTACAGAATGGATATAAATTCGCTGGAAAACATCCAGCGTAGAATGACCAAATTAATACATAGCATTAGAAATCTTCTGTACGAAGAACGATTGAAGACTCTTAAACTACATTCACTTATAAGACGAAGAATGAGGGGAGACATGATTGAAGTGTATAAGTGGAAGATGGGTATTAACAAAGGGGATATAAATAAGGTTTTGAGGATATTCCTTCAAGAAAGAACCTGCAATAATGGATTCAAATTAGATAAGTTTAGATTTCGAAAGGATATAGGAAGATATTGGTTTCGAAATAGGGTAGTTGATGAGTGGAACACACTGCCTTGTAGGGTTATTGAAGCTAAAATGTTGGGTAGTTTCAAATTTAGGTTAGATAAATATTAGCAGTTTGGAGGGATATGTTGTGTATCTTTATACGTATATGCTTCTAAACTGTTGTGTTCTGAGCACCTCTGCAAAAACAGTGATTATGTGTGAGGTGAAAGTGTTGAATGATGATGAAAGTATGTATTTTCTCTTTGGGGATTTTCTTTCTTTTTTGGGTCACCCTGCCTTGGTGGGAGATGGCCGACTTGTTGAAACAAAAAAAAAAAAAATACATGAGTGAGAGGGGTTGGATTTGAGTGAGACTTGCATAATGAGTAAATAGAATCATCAAAACTTATTTTTTGGGTAGCACTGAAAATTGGGTTGGGCAAATATTTTGTTAGTGGGAAGGATTGTAAAGGACCTGCCTAGTATGGGCCAACAGGCCTGCTGCAGTGTTCCTCCTTTCTTATGTTCTTATTTTGCTTAATCCATCTATATACACCCCACAGTAGAATAAATTAACATAAATGAGATGTGGTACCCAGGTGACTTGTAGGACTTGTGGTAGTCAGGCGACTTGTAGGACTTGTGGTAGCCAGGCGACTTGTAGGACTTGTGGTAGCCAGGCAACTTGTAGGATTTGTGGTAGCCAGGGGACTGTAGGATTTGTGGTAGCCAGGTGACTTGTAGGACTTGTGGTACCCAGGTGACTTGTAGTCCAACATCAGAGAAAATGTGTACATTTTAATATCACTGGGGGTAGCCAGAAAATTATCCCTTTCGTATGCCTTCACTCAAGGCGTCATTTCTTCTAAAAATGGTGTTACATGAGAATGGGAGTGGTTCTCTTTATTCTACTGTATCAACGTGGAGACAACTCGTACACAATGTAAAGTGATGAAAACCAGATGCGTTCGTCTGGTTTGTTTACATTATGTGTGGGTGGGGTGGGCTTCCCAACCTGACTTCTACAAATAAAACTCACCTCTCACCCTACATTAAGACTACAAATATTTTAAGGTAATTAATGAGCCTACTGTATATGCATTTTATTGCTCTAGGGAGCTTAATGTCGTAGTAGGTGGGAGTGGCCAGGCAGGATGCCATACCTCCCACACGACTTTCTGCATATAAATACTTTTCACCTCTGACCCTACATTGACTACAAATATTTTAAGGTAAGTAATGCGTGTACTGTATGTGCATTTTATCGCTCTAGGGAGCTTTAAGCATCGTAGTAGAGTATGTGTGGGTGGGGTGGCCAGGAGGGCTACCACACATGACTTCTTAGAGTAAATACTACTCATCTTTTGCCCTACATTAAGACTACAAATATTTTGAGGTAAATAATGAGTGTACTGTGTGTTTATTTTACTTTTTATTGTTTTTAATGCCTAGTTCTATTGCTAACTTAATGTATGTTAGTGTAAACTTGTTATCTGGAATTTATATACATTTATAAATGGAGTTCTGATTTCTGGCGATGTCTGCTTTCCAGCAGTAGCCTGGAACCTAACCTGCCATATAAGTGGGGCCCTACTGTATAACATATCCCTCCAAACTCCCAGTATCCCAAACCCCTTCTTTAAAGTGCAGGCATTGTGCTTCCTATTTCCAGTACTCAAGTCTGGCTATATAAAAATAGCCGGTTTCCCTAAATCCATTCACTAAATATTACCCTGCTCACACTCCAACAGCTTGTGTCCCAATTATTATTATTATAATCAAGGGGGAAGCGCTAAACCCGGAGGATTATACAGCGCCTGGGGGGGATGTGGTAGGTATTCAGGCTTAATTCGGGGAACTGGAGCACAGATCCAATTCCCTAAATCAAGAGCCTCTCACCAACATCAAGGAACCTTTCTCGAGGGGTTGTGTCCCAAAAACCATTCATCTCTATTCACTCCTAACACATGGAGATAGATGTTATAAAAAAAAAATTGTTATAACTTTTTGTCATACCTATAAACTAACTGCTTGTACCAGAAAGATTAGAGTTATGGAGATGGTACATCTAATGTGATAAATTTCTCCGAGCATTGCACAAAACTGATGTATGAAAGACAATTACAGTAAATATTTTTATTTATTCCTTACAATATTAAACAATGCTCTTCTTGCCTTGTTTCTTGCTGGTTAATCTACATGCTGCTGCTTTCTTTCGTTTCTCTCTGACCTGTCTCGTGTGTTCACGAGCCTTAATGTCAGCTTTGAATTTCTTCTTACGTTCTAAATTAGCCTTCTCTTCCTTCTGTATTTTATCTGCCATCATAGTCTTCAACCTCTTCATAAAGGTATCCATCTGAAAAAATGAAGTAAATGCCATTCATGAACTACAGTAATGAATACAAGCAAATGGATATTTGATATTAACCCTTTAAACTGGGTACAACTTATACAGACTCTCCTCACTTAGCAACATACTCATTTACTGACAACCTGGATTATGATGGGTTCTCTGACCCGTATGCATACCTAAATAATGTATATTAGAACTGATTTCCTCTATTTTGTTTATTACAATATACAGTACACTACTGTATAAACATTTAAAAATATACCAGACATGTTATAAATGGTGCAAAGGTGACATTAAAACAATATCAAAGATGGTTGACACAAACCCACTACCATTATAGTATGCTCCTCACTTAGTGATGAATTCGTTTACCGACGTGGTCTTAGGAATGGAACTCCTTTGTTAAGTGAGGAGAGGCTGTATACAGTAGGTGTTTTACTGACTGACTAGGAACATTATTTACATATGTAAAAATCCTAGCACACTCAAATTTCCCACAATCAGCCATTTTAGACCTCTACTTCTGGGGATGAGTGCAACCTTATTCCACCTAGGGAGAAAAAAAAAATCCTGGCCCATGCAGCGCATAGTGGGAGATAGTAAGTATTGCAACATGGGTGTACATAAGTTCTGTCATACATTCGATATCAAGGTAAGTAAGGGGAAATAATTTGAATGAATGACATCATGAAGATGCCTTTGTATAAACATAGTTTTCTTTATTGTAACTTGCATCACTAATATATTTTACAGAAACTGCAGTGAGGAATTTCATCTGAAAGCATTATTGCAAGTACAAGCTATTTACCACAAAACAGTGCTGTATGACTCTGGTGGGTTTAGTGCTTAGCTCTGACTAATAATAATATGTTACTACGTACTGCAATCAGCCCTACTCACACAATACTATTCACTCATCTATCCCTACCTCATTTATGTTATTTGTGTCTGGGGATCAACAGCAGCAACTTCGCCTAAAGCCAATAATAACCCATCAGAAAGCAGCATTAAGAATTATCACACAATCTAATGCAAGACAGCAAACACCTCCACTTTGAAGCCCCTTCACCATACAGAACATTCACACCTATTATGCAACCTACATTTACAAAACCATAAATTCTAATATTAACCCTGAACTAAAATACTTTCTTGACAGTTGCATCAGGATACACAGACACAATACCAGACACAAAAATCTCTATGACATTCCCTGTGTCTGGCTAAACCTCTACAAAAATTCAATGTACATAAAAGGGTCTAAAATCTGGATCTCCCTGCCTGGAAACTCTAGAACCACAGACTCAACCACCATTTTCAAAACTACTGCTAAAAAACATCTAATCTCCCAAAGACACCCCATCATCAGCTAACCAAATGAAAACCACCTAATTCTCTATGCATCATGTACACATCCAAAACAATAGAGTTGTACTCTCATTATCTGTAATTCCTCCCTAATTTACACTTACACCTACCCAAATGACTGTAAACATAAAATTCCTAATATAGCTATTGCCTAAGATAATTAGGCATGTATCTAATAATATATGTTCAAATATACTGCTCCATAACCTATATCAATATAGAGTAAGAATTAGTAGTAGTCTGCCCAAAATGCCTAGGCATGCTAGTGGCCTTCTTTGTAATTAAAATTTTATAACATGTAAACCACACAGTGTAAGCTTTACAAGGAAATATAGATTTTGATTTTGATTTTTGATTTACCACAAAATATCACGACTCTCAGCTTACTTAGCACCACTGAAAAAAAAGGTTAGAGGATGCAGGCAAGAGGGAGATTATTTCCCAATAAAAGTGGGCCTTAGGAAGGTATGTATGATGTCACCATGGTTGTTCAATATATTTACAGATGGAGTTGTAAGAGAAGTGAATGCTCGGTGTTGGCAAGAGGTGTGGGGTTTAAAGATAAAGAATCAAACAAAGTGGGAGTTGTCACAGTTGCTCTTTGCTGATGACACTGCTTTTGGGAGATTCCAAAGAGAAGTTGCAGAGGTTGGTTGATGAGTTTGGTAGGGTATGTAAAAGAAGGAAATTAAAAGTGAATGTAGGAAAGAGTAAGGTCATGAGGATAGCCAAAAATTTAGGTAACGGAAGATTGGATATCAGATTGGAGAGAGAGTATGGAGGAGGTGAATGTATTCAGATATTTGGGAGTGGACATGTCAGCAGATGGGTCTATGAAAGATGAGGTGAAACATAGAATCAATGAGGGGAAAAAAGGTGAGTGGTTCACTGAGGAGTCTGTAGAGACAAAGAACTTTGTCCATGAAAGCAAAGAGGGGAATGTATGAGAGTATAGTTATACCAATGCTCTTGTATGGGTGTGAGGCATGGGTGGGGAATGTTGCAAAAAGGAGAAGGTTGGAGGCAGTGGAGATGATATGTCTGAGGGCAATGTGTGGTGTGAATATAATGCAGAGAATCCGTAGTTTGGAGATTTGGAGCAGGTGCGGGATTATCAAAACTATTATCCAGAGGGTTGAGGATGGGTTACCGAGATGGTTTTGGACATATAGAGAGGATGGAACGAAATAGAATGACTTCCAGAGTGTATAAATCTGTACTGGAGGGAAGGCGGGGTTGGGGTTGGCCTAGGAAAAGTTGGAGGGAGGGGGTAAAGGAGGTTTTGTGTGCAAGGGGCTTGAACTTCCAGCGTGTGTGAACATGTTAGATTGGAGCAAATGGAGACAAATGGTTTTTAGGACTTGATGTGCTGTTGGGGTGTAAGCAAAGTAACATTTATGAAGGGAGTCAGGGAAACCAGCAGGCCGGACTTGATTCCTGGAGATGGGAAGTACAGTGCCAGCACTCTGAAGGAGGGGTGTTAGTGTTGCAGTTTTATAACTGTAGTGTAAGCATGCCTGTGGCAAGACAGTGATGGAGTGAATGATGATGAAAGTTTTTTGTTTTTGGGCCACCCTGCCTTGGTGGGAAATGGTCAGTGTTAATAAAAAAAATAAAATAATGACTCCAGTAACAATAATGAGAATGAAGATTAATACAGCTTGTAAATGCTGATTTTAATGATACTGACACATTATACTCTGAAATGTAAATGGGTTTCTCTTGCTTATTAGACACTTTCTTGTCTGTTCCTGCTACAAAGTAGAAATTGACCAACAACAAAAAAAGCATTACAGTGGACCATCGAGTTTCGTGAAATCCGACTTTCGGTAAGTTTTTTCGGCAAAATTTAGCCTTGTGTTTCGTGATTGGACTCGTGATTTGGCGACCGTCCAGTACCTGTCCGCCCGTCACTGCACACACAAAGCCAGTCTCCCGCACCATTCACATCCAGTGTGCCATGCCATTGTTTACCAGCACGTGACCATCACCCCACGGGTTCATACAATACATTTCGTAATAATCCATTGTTTTTTGTGATTGCAACTTCTAAATAAGTCACCTTGTGGCCAGAATGTGTACAAGAGAGGGATTTTGAAGGGTTTGGGGTTGACCCTAAGGAGCCTATGCCAGTTGTGGAATCTATTGTGGCATTGGGGATGTCCCTGGGGTTGGAGGTGAGTGGTGAGGATGTGGAAGAGTTGGTGGAGGACCACAGGGAAGAGCAAACCACTGCAGAGCTGCAAGAGCTTCATCTGCAACGGCAAGAGATCACAGCTCAGGATATTGCTGCAGAGGAGGAGGAAGAGAGATGGAGGAAGGTGCCTTCTTCAAAGATTAAGGACATTTGTGGACTGAAGTGCAAACAAAGCTGTTGCAGGCCGTATTGGCAACACGTACAATGACAGTGTTGTGTCCCACTTCAGACAAATCTTAAAGAAACGCCAGAAACAGAGCTCTCTGGACAGATATTTTGTGCGACAGGGGTCCATTGACTCTCAAGTTGTTCCCAGTGTCCAGTGTCTTTAAAAAACAAAGAAGGGAAGTAACCCCAGATAAGGACTTCATACCTGAACTCCTAATGGAAGGAGATTCTCCTTCCAAACAATAGTGTACAACTTCCTCCTATCCCCTCTTCCCATCTTCCATCCACCCAGAAGTCTTCAGTAAAGGTAAGTGTAATGTTATTATTTTTTATATGTATGTACTTGATTTCTCATTGTTTTCAGTATGTAAATCTTTATTTAATTTGAAAAAAAAAAAAAATTTATTTTAATATTTTTGGGTGTCGGGAACGGATTAATTTTATTTCCATTATTTATGGGGAAAATGGTTTTGCCATTCGGCAATTTCGACATTCGGCATACTCTCTAGAACGGATTAATCACGAAACTCGGGGGTCCACTGTATTTGTGCAGTAATGCACTTTGAAAAAAAACAAGAGTAAATAAACTAGGAATCATTCCAAGATGCATGATGCTTCACCATGCACTGTTGTTTCATGGACTACTATACCCTGCAACACACCTACTACAACATAAAACTTCTGAAAAATAAATACTGGAGGGCCCTGCTTATTCGGCACCCCTCTTTTCGGTATTCTATGTTTTCATTAAGTGAGTCATTGTTCAACATATTAGGTGCTTTTTCTGCACAATGCTTCTTTTTCGTTATAATAAATTTTCTGCACAAGACTCACGAAATCGTAAGACACGATTGCAAACAAACCATACCAGGGGGGGATTGAACCCGGGTTAAGGTCTAAAAACTCCAGACCGTCGCTAGGGGGCCAGTGGCAAACCGCGGTTGGGATTTGAGACTCTCTGACCACGGGTTAAATCCCGCCCGTGGTAGGTTTTTTCTGCAAACAGTTATTTAACCCTTAAACGTCCAAACGTAGATTAGTTTGCACGTGTACGTCCGAACGTAGATCTCCCTTTTTTTTTTAAAAAAACAATGAAAATTTAAATGTAGATCTCTTCGGAGGTAGTGTGCAAATGTAGATCTTTTTTGGACAGTTTAACCCTTTCGGGGTTTTCGGCCTTTTACTTATGGCTTCGCACCGGGGTTTTTTGACTACTAGTAGCCTAAATTCTAGCCCCCCAAATCTAATGAGAAAAGCGGGTAGGCGTACA